TGTCATTGACTTACTTAATATTTTTTATACTGTTTAAATTATCCAAATCAATATTTATTAATTTTTTTAAACTAATTTTCTTTCAGGTGACACCTTTTTTCCGTCTCCATCTTAGATTTTCTAGAAGTCCTTATTTATCGCGTAACTAGGGGTTGCTATGGACCAAAGCTCCCTTTACGCTTACTGAGGTTTTAGGAACCAATAGAAATTACTTCAAATTATGAAATCATCAAAACTCTACTTAAAAAGGTTTGTATTTTAATATTAAACTATAATTGATTCACAAAATGACTTTATAATAATTGAATTCAAACATTAATAATAAAATTTACTCAAATCTAACTCCCCTTCAGATATCAAAATATTTGTTGCTTGTTAAATAAACCAATGACACAGCTTTATACAATTTTACCTTAGATCTGTCAAATTCTGCTTTTTTTCTTACATTGCATTAAAAAAATAACTATACAGGGTGTTATTTTTTTTTTTTTATGAAGAAACGTATGGCGTTTGGATTTAATTTTTTTTTTTATTTTATGGATTATTTTTGTTGCCTGTAAGTATAGAAACAAACCTGAATTAGATATTGTTGTTCAAAAGTAAGTATTTATTTTTATTCTGTATTTATAATACTACTTCAATTCCCCAATTTTTTTTTTCATTTACTTATTTCTTAAAATTTTAATTTTAGGAAATAATAAATGCAAAAAAAATTTACTTATTATTTTACTCAAAATTTATTATGATTTTACTTATATTACTTGACATTTCCTTTTATTTATAATATTTATGTAATTGTGATATGTGGTATACACCTTTTATTTTGTCTGATTGTGGATCCTTTAATATATAACTGTTTTTTGGTTTCTTATTTCCAATTTCATATGGACCATCGAATGGCAATAATAGTTTAGAACAAATCTTCTTTTTCCAATCTGATTTCCTCAATGCTTTTACTAAAACTAATTCTCCTTTCTCAAAAACAACTTGTTTCTTAATTCTTTTTCTTTCTTTATTCAAATATTTTTCAGCCTTTCTCTGTATTCGTTTATTTACCTGTTCTAATACAACTTCATAATTCGTTTTATTCCTGAATTCCCAAGGTCTTTCTGGTTTTATTTTAGTCATGATATAAACAGGTGTGTCTTCAGTGTTAGTATGTGGAACATTATTTAAAAATCCTTGAACTTCTTCTAAATGATTTTCCCAATTTTGATGATCTGTGAACGTAACGATTCTTAAATATTTGGTTATTTCCTTGATGTACCTTTCAGAAGGGTTTGCAGCTGGATGTCGGATACTAGTAAAACTCATTTTCAAATCATTCTTTTTACAAAAATTTTCAAATCTTGTATTTCTAAAATGAGTTGCATTGTCAATTATGCATCTTTTTGGCTTCCCAAATTCTTCAAAATATCTTTCCAAATTTAACTTTATTTCCTTAAAATTAGTTCTTTTACATGGATATAATCTTGTAAATTTTGAAAATATATCAACTATAACCAAAATATGTTTCTTTCCATCATAACTTTCAATCAAGTTGCTCAAAAAATCAATGGCAATGATTTCTAAACATTTTTTTGCTATTATAGTTTTAGGTTCATTTTCATTTGTTCTATTTTTATCTTTCCCTAATTGACAAAGTTCACATCTACTTGTTATCTCTTTTGCAATACTTACATCTTTTCTACATACATATGTCTCTCTGAACATAAGCCATAATTTTCTTGAACCCATATGACCCTAAATTTCATGTAATTCTTTCATAATTCTTTTAGCTAATACTTTAGTTACAACATAAACTTCCTCTCCATTAATTTCCTTTATATACGTTCCCTCAGATAATTTGCTTCTCTTCTTTATATTGCTTTCCAAATTTTCTTGGTCCTTTTGTACTTCTTGTATACTAAATATTCCTACTTCTTTTAACAGGTTCACTCCAATTTTAACTTTCCTTTGGTCCACTCTCTCCTGTTCATCAAATCGAGTCAAATAATCTACTAAATTATTTATTTTCCCAGGGATATGTCTCACCTCAAATGCATATTCTTGCAATAACAAAGACCATCGATGTATTCGGCTGTTTGCATATTTATTATTTAATATTGAAATTAAAGCTGAATGATCAGTTTCTATTATAAATGTATTTCCTAGTAAATAATATCCTAACTTATTTATACAATAAATTATACTACCTAATTCTAATTCTGAAACTGAATAATTTTGTTCATGTTTCTTTGTTAAACGTGATACAAAATAAATCGGATATTCTTTATCATTATATTTTTGTAACAGAACTCCTGCGAAACGATGTATGGATGCATCTGTCCTTAATATAAATTGCTCTTTATAATTTGGATGGTAAATTTTCAAATCCTTGGATATCTTCTCCTTTATTTGTCTAAAAGCATTTTCCCTTTCCTCTGTCCACTTAAATTTCACATTTTTCCTTAGTAGTTCCACTAGCGTTACTTCTTGTTGACTTAAATCCGGTATCATTCTTTTAAAATAATTTAACATTCCTATGAAACCGCGTAATGTTTTTAAATTATGTGGCCTTTTAAAATTTTTAATAATTTCTATTCTTTCAGGATCCATTTCTATACTATCCTGTTTTAGTTTAAATCCTAAATAGATAACTTCTTTTTGATAAAACTTGCCTTTTTTTAAATTTAATTTTAATCCAGCTTCGTCCAATTTACTCAAAACTATTTCAATATGTTTCTTGTGTGATTTTTCATTTTTCGAATAAATTAAAATATCATCTACATAGTGTAAAACAAATTCATCGTATTTATCTAGAATATTATGTAATGCTCTAACTAGTGCAGCACAGGCACTTTGTACTCCAAATGGCACCACTTTGATATTGATATATCACTCCGTTTATCTGAAAACCTGTATATTTTCGACTATCTGGGTGTAATGGTATTAACCAAAAACTATGTTTCAGGTCAATTTTTGAAAATACCACTGCCTCTGTAATACTACCAAAAATAGCATCTACAGTTAATGGCGCTTCATACTGCGGAACAGTGAACTTGTTGATCATCCGAGCATCAAGACATAATCGCAGCTCATTATTTGACTTTGGAACTACTACAATAGGATTTATAAATTTTGTGTTACTCTTTTCAATTATATTTTGTTGTATCATTTTTGTTATTTCTTTATTTACTTGATTTTTATATTTATAGGGAATAGGATAATTTTTTATTTTGAAATCTTCTACATTTTCTACTTCAAACTTATGCATATATCCTTCTGCTACTCTATTTTCTTTAGATAATAATTTTTTATATTTATTTAATATTTCTTTTATTTCATCCAGCCTTTTTTCTGGACATTCGAATTCTTCTAATTCCTCCTTTATGTTCATGCTATATTTATTTAATACTTCTTTCATGTCATCCAGCCTTTTTTTTGGACAATCTATATTTTCCTTCATTGTACTTTTATTAATATTTATATTTTTATTTTCTTCATTTTCTTCTCTTTCTTCAAAATTAGTCTCTATCCCTTTTATTTCTATTTTTCTTCTTTCATAATTAATTTTGCTTCTATGTTTTTCTAACTCATCTGTCCCCATAATTATGTAAAATTCCATTTTAGATACAACAAGTAATTGCATATTTACTGTATTTTCTTCTATTGTTATTTCCAAATTTGTCGCTTTATTTATTTCATAGATCTTTTTTCCATTTGCTCCAATTATATTTACTCTCGGTATTTTGATCAAATTTCTTTGTGCCTGATTGTTATTTTCTATAAGTTCTTTTCTGACCAATGATGCCTATTTACATCATTTTTATCATCTAAAGTTATAAACTCTTTTGGGTGTTCATAACTACAAATGTGGAGGGTATTATCTTTTGGAGTGTGCCTTTCTAAAAATCCTGTCCTTGCCAGACATGATCTCCAGTTTCTGTTTCCCTTCCATTGTCTACATCTTGAATATATGATTCTTGTTGCTCTTTTCGCATATTTTCCCCTCTTGTCCTTTGTATGTCCACAGGTTCTCTTCTTATTTGCTCTTGATTATTATAACATCTTCTTGTTACATTGATTTGTTTATTTTGATCTCTTCTTTGTTAATAATTGTCCGGATTTCCATTCCTTGTGTATCTTTTATAATTCTGATTATAGTTATTCCTCGTGCCCTGATTAACATATGTCCTGTCATTATTTCCTCTTCTTTCATATTCTCTATTATAGTGTGGTCTACTAAAATGTTGATTTCTATTGTAATTTCCATTATATTGATTATTTTGTTGATTATATTTAGGGTTTCTATAATTATTTTGACCTACATTTTGTCTATCAATATTTTTATTACTATTTTCACCCATTTTATTCTTTTCTTGAACTGTCCTTACATTTCCTCTTTGTAATCTGTTCAAATAATTTGTCAATTGATTCACTGTCTTTATATTATGCATGGTTATTGTCTCCACAACTTCTTGTTTGAAATGTCGTGCAATATTCAAAATTGTTTCCTCTTCTCTTATTGGAGGATCTACATATTGAGCAATTGTGTATAATTGTAATGTATAATTAACAAATTCTGTACTCCACTCATAATTAAACTTTCCAAAATACAAAGTTTCTCGAAACTGAGTTTGTGCTGTTTCTCCCCAAAAATATTCTATAAATTTCTCCTCAAAATCTTCAAAACTTACTATCACTTCTTCTTGGCTGGCAAACCATAATAACGCATTATCTTTTATATTGCCCCTAATTATGTCCTTTATGTCTTCTATATTTGTCAGACCCTTAATTCTATTCTTCAAACTATTTACAAATACTTTGGGATGCAACTTCTTTATATTTCCTGTAAAATTTATACCAAGGTCTGTAGACATATTTGGCATTATCCTACAGTTTCTTTGATTCATTTCCAACATTTCTTCTATCTTTCTTCTTTCCTGTTCCATTTGTTCATTAATATATAACCCATATTGTGTTGCAGTCTGATTCCATCTTTCTTCAATAATATTTACCTGTTCCATATTATTTTGTACATCTTGTTCTATCTCTTCCACTCTTTTTTCAATTCCCCCTTGAAATTCTCGAATTCTTATTTTCATATTCTCATGAATTGTCTGTATTCTTTCTTGTAATTTATCATACGCTTCTTTTTGAATTTTCAACATTCCATAAATTTCTTTTCTCTCTTCTGTCAATTTTTCTTCCACTTTATCCAATTTTTCTTCTAAACCTTTATTCATCTGTTCCAAATATTGCATCATTTGATCCATCATATTATTATTCCTATTTTGGGATGAGTCACCTTCTCTTATTCTGTTTCCTACATTTTGATTACTTTCTTGGTTTATTATATCATCTTCACATTCTCCTTCTTGTTCTCTTCTTTGTCTCTCACTGTTGTCACCTTTCTCCATTTTTTGTTCCAGATCTCAATTCCATAAATATTATTTTCTTTTTCTTCTTTACCTTAACTATTCACACTTTTTAAACTTCTCACTATTTCCAAATTCACTCCTTATTGGAACCACTTATTTTTACTCATATTTTAATTTACAACACTAATATTCACACATCACCTTATTTTTACGAGGCCCCACGTTCTAAGCCATTTTTGTTTTGGTTTGTTTATTTTATATTTATTTTTATTTAGTTTGTTTTTTTTTTATTTTATCGAAAAGAAAACCAAAACTTCCCTTTATAAAACTATGCTCAGTCGTTTTTATATAGATTTAACAAAATAGTTTAAATTTAATATTTGTGGTAAGTTTCCCACTTACCTTTTGGGCTCTTATCTCAGGTTGGGTTCTATTGGCGCTCTAAACACTTGAAATACTCTGATAATAATGATAATTATCATTCAAGATTCAAATAACAGATTTTTTTTTATTTCATAAAATGAAAATAAAGCACAATTTGACATAAATAACAATGAACATTCATGTAAGTAAAATTCCTTAAACTAATATGTACACCTTACTGTATATTCGTGAAATTATTAAAAATTTTGATCAAAATTTATAATTTGTATTCCTTTTTTTATCCAGATTATTTTAATTTTTAATTTCTCTGCGTGACCTACTATACACGCAAAACGCGAGATCGTGCTACCATCTACGAATAAACCTCGTAAGTACCAGGTAGATTACTATTCATAACCTCTGTTGAGTAGAAATTTAAGTAAGAACATTTATTTGCGTTGCAAATATCAAAAATTGGAATGACTTTATATTGCTCTGGATTAAAATCACGAAAATACTTTCTATTTTCTATCCTATTTCACAACATAACCTGTATTTCTATTGAAATAATATCAGAATGTGTATTTGGAATAAAGAAAAGTTTTTTAAACTATCTACACTGTTTTCGCTTATCTTCACAAGCTTTAGGTAATTAAATGAAACTTTTAAAGAATGAAAAGTTCTTTCTTTAGGGTTTATATTTTCTTTTAACTTATAATGTGCACTGGGTTTATTTGTTTGTAGCACACATGACTCAATAATGTGAAATATGGGAATTGATCTGCTTGCACTTACGTTATATCGGATTCTTTCTTTGGATGAGACACTCCAAATCCTATGAAGACACCTTGTGGCCGGTAAGTTGAATTTTTCTTTATAAATTCATTCATACAAAGCAATATAATTTATAAATTGTATGTCATTGACTTACTTAATATTTTTTATACTGTTTAAATTATCCAAATCAATATTTATTAATTTTTTTTAAACTAATTTTCTTTCAGGTGACACCTTTTTTTCCGTCTCCATCTTAGATTTTCTAGAAGTCCTTATTTATCGCGTAACTAGGGGTTGCTATGGACCAAACCTCCCTTTACGCTTACTGAGGTTTTAGAAACCAATAGAAATTACTTCAAATTATGACATCATCAAAACTCTACTTAAAAAGGTTTGTATTTTAATAATAAACTATAATTGATTCACAAAATGACTTTATAATAATTGAATTCAAACTTTAATGATAAAATTTGCTCAAATCTAACTCCCCTTCAGATATCAAAGTATTTGTTGCTTGTTAAATAAACCAATGACACAGCTTTATACAATTTTACCTTATATCTGTCAAATTCTGCTTTTTTTCTTACATTGCATTAAAAAAAATAACTATACAGGGTGTTATTTTTTTTTTTTAGGAAGAAACGTATGGCGTTTGGATTTAATTTTTTTTTTATTTTATGGATTATTTTTGTTGCCTGTAATTATAGAAACAAACCTGAATAAGATATTGTTGTTCAAAAGTAAGTATTTATTTTTATTCTGTATTTATAATACTACTTCAATATATATATATATATATATATATATATATATATATATATATATATATATATATATATATATAGCGTGGGTACAAAGTACAAAATAGTTACAAATAGTAACATAAAAAAGTTTCATTTTCGTTTCTAGTACCGAACGGTGTTAGATGTGAATATATATATATATATATATATATATTTTTATAAATTTATAAATTTTATAAATTTTTAAAATGAGGTTAGAAATATGTTTAAGGACAAGGACTCTAATGTCAAAATTTCAGGTTTGCAATAAGTCTTATTTCAGCATGGAATTTATTTGCCTCTAATTACGTTGTCACTATTAGTGGCTGACACATACTTTGATTACTATACGGAGCAAGAGAGAGGTCCGACACGCCCAACATAGGGCGCGGTCATTTTGATTCTTTTACTACTAAGTTAGGCAACACATATTTTTCCAAAATGTTAAACTGGTAGCCTACATCTTGATATTTTGAGATTTTAAATGAAGGCAACAAATGTAAAAGAAACGTTTATTTATTTTAAATAATATACAAGAAACTTCTTTGAAATAAAGTTATAATTGCGAGTGCATCTTGAAATAAAGGTGAGTGGTTTTAAATTATTTCTAAAGCTGTGCATATTATTTTACCATAATATTATGTTATTTTTCGCCAGTCCCATGCCCATGAAAAAACATTTTATTTTTGTAATGTAATAAAATCTTTGAGGTTAAACAATTTAATATTATATTTTGCATTTTTTCAGCTGTAAATATGGTACGAAACTATAAAATAATACCATAGAAATGTAGGATTAAAGAAGCTCTAAAAGATATTACCAGAGGAATATACTCTTGCAGGCAAGCTCCAGCAATTTATATAAAAAGAACGTTACTTTTATTTATATCCTCTAAAAGTTCAAGCAAAGAAATGGTGAAAATTTAGGAAAGGAGATCGAATGTAAAAAAAATCAAAATATGGTAGTAAACAGGTTTTTATAAACTAACCTAAGAACTTTTGGTTGAGTATCTACAATTTACTATGGTTTAAACTATGCTCAAGTGATATCTTTAAAATACAAGTTATGCCAAACATATAATATACACAGAATGTTCTAACTCTACTTTTGAGAGGTTACAGCTTTCTCAGAATAAGGCAACGAGAGCTATTTTAGGATGTAGCAGATATAGCATTTAGCTTATGTTGACTACGTTGAACTGGTTGAATATGGTACAGTTTCTATGTTCAGGCAATGACCTTTATTTTTAAAATACAAAATAATGTATTGAATTGTCAACTTACTCCTATTTCTTACATCAGTACCATACAAGAGCTGCGAATTCTATTAATTTTTGTGTTATAACAAGCAGAAAGGCTGATTTCAAATTAATCAATTATCTCATGATATAAAATCCTTTTAAAAAGCTAAATTATTTTAACAGTAATTAGTTATGTTATGTTATTTTGTCATCGCTTATTTATTTATTATGTATTTATTTTCAAATACTCTACACTTTTGTACATTTATGTAGGTATCTTTTTATTTTTTGTATGAATTAAATATAATCTACTTTTATGTTGTTTTTTTTTACTTGAAAATATGTGTATATCAGTCATAAATAGTTTTTTTTTTATTTACAATACACATCATAATTATACCTACTAAAAATATGTCAAATGTGTCACCACTCCTCCATGTACTTTTACAAATGAGTCAAGAAAGAAAAAATATTATTTAAAAAAATTAAAGGTCTATAGACAGCGTGCCATAAGTCGATAACTCATAAAAGTTACTATGGATCAATAATTTAATGTTTATTAGCAAAAGTAAAAATATACAATAAATTATTTTAACAATTCAATATAGACTACTGATTAACTCGAGTAGGTACCACACAATTAGAATGATAAAACCTTGTACATTCAAAATAAAAGTTTAAACATTTATAAAATTAAACAACACTTAGCAAAAAAGACAGAAAATTTATATTAATATATGCAAATTAAGATTGTGTACCTAGGAATGTAAAACTAGATTTGAATTGTGTTTATTTTCAAATAAATCAATTATGTCTTCCAAAACTGCCTGATTATTGAGAGCCAAGATTAGTTTTTTGAAAAATGTACTTAGGATTGAGTAGGATTTCATTAAAAAACATTATGATATTTTGGTAAAGTAATAGTAAAATGTCTTTATTTTATGAATATTCAATATTGATCCTAAGAAGATGAAGAATAGCTAGATTATTTCTTAATCTTCTCAGTTTACAACTTATTTGCACATTACAAAACTATGTACCAAAAACATAATATAATGATGGTTGTTCTTGTTCAAATATTTCTAGAAGATCATAATTTGGCTCAATTGAAAAAGTTGTTCCGGTACTTGATGTTTGATTCTAAAATAAAAAGATCATAACAGATGTATTGTTCAGTTGTTACACAGGAAGAAATTGCTAAATATTTTCTATTCATGAAAATACCCTTATGGGTATTACTGCCACCACCTCCATCAATATTCTCGTTTTCAAAGATTACACAAGTTTGTTAATTGTATTACCATTAGATTGCCAGTGTACATTTTCAAAACTCTTGCATATCTCTCTACTTTCTACTTCTATAGCAATCGATGGTCTAGCTATGGTTTTTTTAGTCCGTCGACTCAATATTGCAAAAAGGATGTTGACATACGGTGGCTCTAAAAGATGTTTTTGTTACTTTTATGATTCCTGTGTATGTCTAACGTACAAAATCAATGTACCTGGATCAGTGGTACTTTTGCTTTTTAGAAATTTCTATTTATCTGAAACTGTTACAAGGTTTACTGTACCAAATAAATACATTAAATATTACAGGTCATTTTTTAACTCTTTCTGATATACTATTTAGCAGAGGGAGCTATTTTCTCAGCTGAGGACTACCTCTACTTTCAGGTGTGTAGATGAGCCACAGGTAGTAAACCTGAAATAAATAAAAACAATTATTGTAATATAAATGTTCCGAAAAGTAAATAATATTACTTACATGTTTATTTATATTATTTCGTGTAATTTTAATACTGCTCCCACCTATTGAAGTAAATGCTTCAATTTTCTAGGTATTTGCCTTCTACAAAGAATTGGTTCATACCTTTTTA